TCTAAATTCTCAAGTTCAGCCAACTCAAAGCGGACCCTCCATTGGGTTTCTGCGGCTGTGACTCATACAGGAGGAGGTATAGGCTTTGGGTTAGTAGCACACCTCCCATCAAGTTGATTCCAGTTATTAAAGCCCAGTTTTGCAAGGTCAAACTCATTATTTATCCCCTTTATTAATCTGTATAGGACCGTCAAATTGAAATTTTAAGAGAAACATTCACGGAAGAGCCATTGTTTCTCAATCTGTATTTTGTAATTTGTGTGTATGGGTCTTGGTGTTTACAAAAGACTTAGAGCCTCTGACCCTGTTCTCTTAGGAAAAAAAACATTACAAAGGTTTTCCTCTACCCTCTTTAAAGTCTCCCTCCTGCTGGCGGAACTCCTCATCCAACATGCTTATGGAACTTATGGAATGCCCTTTTTCAAGGGTAGGGGGGAAAGTACGGTTTTTGTAATGAATATAATATCCTGAAGTCAAGGGTAATAACAGGGAAGAGAAAATCATGAAGGGAAAACAAAGCAGTGATACAGAACCAGATGGCTTGTGTCTCCTTCCCCTCCCACAGCCTCTCCCAGGCCCTGGCTCTCATCCCCTGAGAGAGAGGGTGGGAATGGGGTTCTGCCCTCCCTGGGGCAGCTGCCACACCTCCCAGTGCCTGTCCTCCCCCTCCCTTCCCCCTTCCAAAGACACAGGAAGCCACAGGGCTGGCTTTTAAATGCAGTGTAAACCATGTGATATGTGTGCGCACATATGCCCAGAACGAGGGGCACTGTTGCTCCATTTGTGTAGACTGGGGTCTCTTGGGCCTGTTCTTCAGAACTCAGTGTAGTGTGTGGGGACATCATTTACCTTGAACTATATAACTCTACAGAATGTCTGACTTCATCCATTTCATTTTCTATCATGACCAATGGTTTGCCACCATGCTTCTTTAAAATGTATTAAGTGTTCAACACAAGATAGTGTTGTGGTCATTATCTTTAGTAGTACCACTTTTCCTCATGTATTCGTTGCATATTTTCAGTTGTAAATTTGTCATGTATGAAGAAATGTTAGTTTCCAATTCAAATATTTGATAAAATTATTTTGGATAAGCTATCTAAAAGTAAAATGAGTGAGTAATGGCCAGATTTAGAAAGATCGCAGCATTTAGAATAAAAATACTCCATGCCTCAGCTGTTGGAAGCTGGCTCATGTTGACAGATGCCACATCCTGGCTGCATCAGGACTCAGGGGCCTCAACTCCAGGAACCACAGCTCTGTAGGGGCTGAGGGCCAAGAAGATTTAGGGACAAACTCATTGATAAGTCTCTAGTTTAAAAGAGGGGAAGTAGCTCTTACAAGACTTTGAAAGCTTCTAGACCAGAGCCAGAACTTAAGTCATATATTATAGTCCAAGCAAGACAGTCAGAGATGTTCTGACCAAGTCTGAATTAATGAAAGATTTGAACCATGAGAGCATTTAGTTTTAATAATACTGTTTAAGTACAATAATACAAATAAAGAAATAAAAAATGTGTAGTAGATACCCTGTTTTTGTCAGTCAACATGATTTGTAAAGAGCATGTTTTTGGTGAGTAAATCGGTGCAGCTTCTACTGTGATTTAAGAGGATCCCCTCACCCCCATTTGCTCAACAGACTTTCTGAGCACAGCATGTGAAGTTTACTACATAAAGCGCTGAGTCCTTTTCAACTCATGTCTCTTTTGATGAAGAAAATAACCCTGAAAAAGAGAAACCAAATATTTTATCTTTCTTAGGACTAACTGAAAACACTTGTGAGATTAGAGTCACTCAAGAAATAGTCAAGAATTCTTGCTACATGACTTTAGAATGAACTGATCTTTGGATGCTAGTATCTGCTAAACTGTTGAGGTGGCAAGACTAAAAGTCTCCTGCTCCGTGGCAGAAAGATGAACAGTCTTCTCCCGTGTGATTTACTGCCTCTGAGAAACATGCTTGGAGGGTCAGCTATGAGTCAGTGCCAATGGCATACTACAGTAAAAACAAAGACTAAAATTATATCGTTAATGCCAGATTTGAATGGGAAATTGCTCATTAATTTCAGGTTACCTGAATAAGTTTATCCCAGCCTGCAGCAAAATTGTTTTGGCTTCTTGCTCCACTTGCCATTCCCATGAACCCTACAAATGATGTTAGACTTTTTTTTAACGAAACAAAGATGAACTCAGTGAAGGCTATATTGCATTAAAAAAATAATCCTCTGGTACAAGATACTTTAAAAAAAAATACCAAACCCAACAACCCAACAATAACCCATTTTGGAATATTTCCCAGATGAAGTGGGGGTATGTTTGAGAGACAGGGAATACGATGGATATTATTTTGTATGGTGAAATGTCTCCATCTAGTGGCAATTCAGAGGAGTAAAGGTTGTCACCACAAAGTGAAAATCATACTGTCTGCATAGTCATTTGTCACAATGCAGTATTTGAAGAAAAAAAAAATTAATTTCCGCATGTGTACTCTGATGATCTTAGATGGTGTGTTTACAACTGAAAATATTTCTTTGTGCATGGTGGGACCATAGACCTGATACCAGTACTCAGCTGTTGACATTTTTTAATTTCATGGAGTTGAGACCCAAAAGGCAAAAGGATGTGATGTGAATGTAGCAAGATGTAGTGTCCGCTCAGCTGGTAACAGTCCAGTCGTTAAGTCCTGTGGTATGTTCACAGGTGTTTGTTTCATAACTTGTATTGGCTACTAACCAAAAGATTGGTGTTCTGAATCCACCAACCACTTCACCAGAAAGGATGCAGTGTGTTTCCATAGACTACAGCCTAGGAAACTTATAGAGCAGTTCTGCGCTCTCCTTTTGGGTCCCTACACGTCTGCATCAATGTGACAGCAGTAACGTTTTGTTCGCATGTCTGAAGTGTTTCAGGGGTAAAAATACCAAGATGAAGTTATAAAGAACTTCATGTGTTTAAGGACAATTACCTTCCTCTTTCAGTTCATTTCTCATTTCAGTTTATTTAAAATTTATTTAATAGGGTAAAAAAGGAGAGCTTTGGAAACTTTTTAAAATATAATTGTAAGAAACCATTACTAGCACAATTTGTAAGCTATCTATGTTGCTTAATAGGGCCACTAAGCACTTTTCCTCAACAACATGTATAACACATGTTGGCTTCTCCCATTTCCTCTGTTGCTGTACTAAATTCTGTCTGGAGTCATGGATTCCCTCACTCAGACTTGGCCTTTAGAGACTGGGACTCTGGAGTGAGGCCTGAGTTTCATGCTAGAGGCTGGTTATTCTCCTTCTAATTAAATCAGTCTGGGGAGGACCTTTACCAGGGCCAAAAGCCAACATGTTTTCTTCCCTGGCTGGAAACTTTGACACAGCGCCCAACCAGAGAGTGATTTAAAAAAAAAAAAAAAAAAAGGATCATAGATTTAGGTTTCTCTTCTACCAAGGACCATAAAAGGAGGAAGAGAGGGCTCTGGGCCTCTGGTGTAAGGGCTGTATGTCAGCACAAGCAATTTCCCAAATCTCTGTTGGCTCCAGGACAATTGCACCCTCCCAGTACCTCCCCCTCCTGAGCTGAGCCTCGTGGTAGGATCTGTAGATACTCAGCAGATGTCAGAGTTACAGCCCTAGATACATCTCCTAACCATTGTTCTTAGAAGCAGCATGCATTCTGTCTCTGCTCTTTGTCACACATAAAACTATGTGCATCAAAGCATATGAACTTTAACCATTGAATTTGCTAATTTGTTTTCATGTATTATAAGCCCTCCCTTTCGTGCTTTTCCCCCCACAGCCCTGGAAGCCACACACATTGAGACCATACTAAACCACTGCCTAGAACACTGGTCCACACAGTGACAGAACTAACAGTCTTACTGCCATAGTGACTTTTTCCATCTTCTCCTTCCCTATACACACACAGCTACAGCCACACTTTCTCTTCTGCCTCCTAGGTTTAATTGTAGTTGTTGTATGTCATGAAGTCAGAATCAACTGATAGCTGACCCTCCAGCAGGTTTTCAGAGACAGTAAATCACACACCAAGAAATTGCCCGTCTTTCTCCCATGGAGCAGCTGGTGGATTCAAACCACATGCCTTTGGGATTGCAGTGCTGTTTCTTACCACAAAGCCACCAGGGCTCCCTAGGTTCAATCTGATGTCATAAATATTTGGTGAAATAACCTCAATTGTGAATATTTGAAGAAAGCTTAACCTAATATTGCTTTTATCACTCTAGCTGCAGCTAGGTGTCTCTTACTACTTTCTGTTGAGTCATTTCCTGGTGGCCCCATGTGTTTCCCAGAACTGAGTTCCATGAGCTTTCGTTGGCTGCTCTGGAGGTGAGGTCCATAGGGAGTTACACTGCTAACCCAAAAACTGTGCCTCCACTAGCGGGTTTGGATCCACCAGAGGATCTGAAGGAGAAAGCTGGGCAGTCTCCACCCGTGGATTCATAGCCTCAGGAATCTAATGAAGTTTCAACAGCAATGAATTTGTGTTTGTGGAAGTTTCTTATTTGTTTGTTTCTTAACCTTCCAAAATAGATCTCTGGACCATTTTTCTAAAGCACTTTTGGGTGGATTTGAATCTCCAGTCTTTCCTCCACTCATTAATGGCTGAGTGTATTAACCACTTGCCCACTCAGGTAAAGATCTATGTTCCCCTTTTACTAGAGGGAAAATATTCTCATCCGATGCTGGGCTCCTTTCTTGGTTGATCAGCATGCATAATAATGTACTTGCATAGGTTGAAGCTGGGTTCCTTTCCCCTTAGTCCAAGTCGAAGACACTTCCCAAATAAAGTATGCCCCCTACGCAAGAGTGCTTTCTTATATAGCCAGGTCCTGCAATATTCTCATCTAATCAAGGCCAGAGGAAAAGGGTCTTCAGTCCAGCTGGTAGGAGGAGGACGGGACACAACCATCTACCTACAGCACTGAATCTAAGACTCAGAGACCTTGAAATGGTTAACATACTCCTTTCTCTTCCCTTTTTTTCTCTACAGTGAAGGTGATTGGTGGGAAGCCCGATCCTTGACAACTGGAGAGACAGGCTACATTCCCAGCAATTATGTGGCTCCAGTTGACTCCATCCAGGCAGAAGAGTATGTTTCATTTTATGATATTTCACTGAACTTGTTGCTAAAAGTTGGTTATTACCAAAAGTCCTAGTACCCCTGTTTGTTGGTTGAAGAGAAATTCACTAAGGGCTGAAAGAACTTGCTAATATGCTATTGTTTCTTAATCTTTAGGCCACAATGTTTACCATGTCTTTGTAATATTTATACTGTTACTAAATCAGTATTTCCCTTTAAGCCTGCTCACTTTTAAAAACTTCTTATTTCTTTTAAAAGGAAATTTTATATATCAGTTTCCCAAAAGGAAACCCAGTTTTACTTTCCATACATAGAAAATGATCCTAAAAATGCAGTGAAATTCTAGCTAGACCTTATTTTATTGTCAGCATAACATTCTGTTCAATCAGCAGCCTGCTCTCTCTGTTGAAAAAGAAAGAGCAGGAAATATATGTTAAAGGTCACACAGATTTTTCTCCTGCACTCAGAGGTGTTAAAGAAGTACTCTGAACACGTACCTTCCATCCCCAGGTAGCGCACATACAGTATGTGTCTCAGAACTCGGAAAATACTGTGGTGATAGAAATCAAGTGGTTCTTCATATCACTTGCACCCTCAGTTGGTTTCATGGATCATAGATAGAGAGCAGTAGTTCTCTGGCCTGAGAACTCCAAAGGTAGCAGTTTAGGGCCAAGCATATTCTAAATGAGATAACCCTTAATTCTTTAGCCTCCAGTACAGATTTAAGGGAGCTTCCAGTGTGCAGAATTACTAGAGAGACTGGTTGCAGACTCTGTCTTCTGAACTGGGGACAGGGCGGTGAGCCCTGATCTCCAGACGTGGAGGCCTAGCCTCCTGACATTGATGGGTCACGGCTCCTGCTCAGTGGTGGTGGTCTTACCTTATCCTCGCTGAAGGAAAGTCAAGACAAGTCAGGCACTGAACCCCTGCCTTCGACTTTGTTATTTCATTTTGCCCTTGATTTATTTAAGGGCTACAAGGCGGATTAGACGCCACACCCTAGCCAAATCCCCAATTGGATCGTTCTCTTGTCTTTAATTCCCTTTTATTTCTGCTAAGGATATCTATTTTCTTTCTGACGAACAAATACTCCATCCTGAGCTCATTTTTTTTCCCTTCCTAGAATACATGTTTCATCATCTGTGAATGAAGGACTTAGTATTGAATTTTATGTTAGGGTAGATTTGCATACTTTATTGTGTTCTTTCAGAATAAATGATACCACCAAAATGGAGCATCACTTCAGCTTAATAGGGGAATTATCATTTAAATATTTGTGAGGGTTAACTTTTTAAAAATTAAGCATAATTGTAAATACTAATGGTTTTTCATATGCAATTAATTACTTTTAAGATACTGCTGCTTCAGAACACTTCATTTTTCTAACAGTCGTTTTTTGCATAGCATTTTAATTAGGTTATTGATAAAGTCTCTGTAAATTATTTGTCACAAATAATGAATGTCATTCTCTTTATACCAACTACTGAACTTTATAAATATCAATGTTCTAGAGGGGCTTCAGGCCTTTTGTTCATAGGGTTGCTATGAGCCATGCTCAGACTCGAAGACAATCAACAACAACTACTAGGTTAGGGATTGTTGCGCAGTTTGGAGCCTATAAAAATCAGCGAAGAGTTAACACATAATGTGTCTCTTCTGATTTTCAGTGAAGCTCTTTCATTCACAAAAGAATCTGACAATGAATACATAATAGCTGTGTTCAAATATAACGAATCAAAAATTTATTTTAGAAGCAAGATCCTTTCACAGTTAAGTATTCTAAAAATTGTCCCTGTGCGCAGATTCCATTGGAATGCTCCAGCATTCTCCCTTGGGCCCTCAGAGCACCTGCTTCTTCATTCAGCATCTAAGTACTGAACTATTCATTAATTGTCAGGCAGTAGTGAGGGCGTGGGGGATGTGAGAGAATCAGAAATTTAAAAAAAAAAACCCACACAAATAACAGAGGTTAGACAGGGACTTGATGTGATGCCTCTTAAAGTGGTACAGGTGTATCACTTAACAGGGAGAATATTTAAACATTTACAGCACCGAGTGGTTTTTAAGAGCATGCTTGGTGATGGCGTGTAGGTATCAGAAGTGCACAATAGCCCGTTCCGCAGCTGTGCCAAAGAGAAGGCTTGCTGCGGATCACAGTCCAGAGGCTTACTAAATGCCCTTTATTTGCCCAGGCCCTCCTTCCTGCTGGATAGAAAGAGAAGAATAAAGCATGCAAGGGCAGTAGTTGTCTCAAACTAGGAGTAGTCTGTACCATTTTTACCCTGTGTTCCTCTAAGCAGAACATTACCAAAAATATCATATGTCTTTGTTCTTTGTCCATTTGAACTGGCCTTTTTTTGTTTTTGAAAGTGAGTGATTAATGATCTTTGCATGCACTGTGACTGTGTGTTGTTATTTCCCAGGGGTTGTAATTACACTCAGAAATCAAGGGTCTTGCAGATGAGCGTGGGAAGGGTCTCCTGCGGTTGCCATTTCAAAACAAGGTCTTAGGTTTCTCCTTTGTGCATGCAGGTGGCAGTTTTAACACAAACCAGCTCCTGTCATCTCTGGAGGGGAGGCAAACACCCACAGTTCAAGTCAGATTTTTTTTTTTTAAGGAGTGAAAGAGATGGATTAGGGATAGAATCAGAAATAGATTGAAAGAGAATTGGTTGAGCTAGAGGAGGAAAATGTGTGTATATAATAGGCTAAGGACAAAATTAGAGGTGAAGGGGATTAATGGACAAAAGGCTGACCCGGTTCCATTTTTTTAAATGATGGTTACAAAATCGTTCCTTTTCTTGATCTCATTTCAAGGTGGTACTTTGGAAAACTTGGCAGAAAAGATGCTGAGCGACAGCTTTTGTCCTTTGGAAACCCAAGAGGTACCTTTCTTATTCGAGAGAGTGAAACCACCAAAGGTAAGAGAATGAGCTGGAGAAGTTGGCTTGTCATTCAAATCTGTGGATTAGTCAGAGACGATGAAAAGCTTAGTGCTAATGTACAAGAATTTTTAAATGGCACACATCCTCCTGCCTACTGAGTGAAGTCCTATTTTCAGTTTTCCCTCCAGGCTTGAGAACTGCAGAGAGCTCCAACTAAACTACAGAGGCTTCAAATCAAGGCCTTCATCCCAGAACAGGGACTCGGGTAGCTTTACTCCTCCAGGCGCCCAGGATCAGAGAATTTTCAGATGTCCGTTAGAATTCTGATTTCTCTAAAACTCTTCATCCTAGGGAGTCAATCATACAGGTTGTTTTGTTTTCCTTTAAAAAAACCCAAAAAACCACATAACAATAAAACTATAACTGAGGATCTTACTACTCTTCCTCTAGTTGTTGTCACATTATTTAACAACTCATCAGAGCCCATGGAAGGGGATGACTAAAGGGAAAATAAAGGTAGAAGCCATTAACTTGACTGGCCAGACACTGGCTGGCTGCACCTTTTCAGCGTGTGGAGAAATAGAAATTCGAACCTCACTTCTTCAGAAACAGCATTTAGGTTTCTTTGTGCACACTCACTGTCCTCTCTCCTCCCGTGATGCCCGACGGGCACAGGAAGCTAGGAAACCAGCTCTGCCATGAATCTAGGCTTCTTTTGTTCTTTCCCAGTGAGGATTATATCTGCACCATGTTAGGCAACACAAGTGTGCTGAATAAAATATTTTCCGGGGAAAAAATCCTGGAAGCTTTCCGTCTCGAGGGTAAAATAATTTCATTGCTAATATCTTCTGACATTTACAGGAAAACAAGAGGTATTCTCATTCTATGTACCAAGTGGAAGACTCGTGTGTGTGTGTGTGTGTGTGTGTGTGTGTGTGTGTGTAATTATTAATCTGAATAATCAAGTTGATGAGACCTAAAAAACAAATATGAACTCAAAGTGATCATAATTACTAATGCTTAGCATATTTCCCAGGTGCCTATTCACTTTCCATCCGTGACTGGGATGATATGAAAGGAGACCACGTCAAACATTATAAAATTCGCAAACTTGACAATGGTGGGTACTATATCACCACCCGGGCCCAGTTTGAAACACTTCAGCAGCTTGTACAGCATTACTCAGGTAACCTTAATTCTAATTACTATGACCCATTTGGGTACTGGAGGGGATGTGGGCAAGCCCATGGGTGGAAAGGTAAAGTGTCCCAGCAAATACATAAGTAAAATGGTTTTCTGTGCTAAAACATGTGTCTTTGCAAAGTTAAAAAATGTCTACTCTGCCTAAAGGTGGGGCCTTTCAAAGTAGGATCTATTGCCACTATTTCTTCCTATTATGTTTGTCAGTAGATTCTATAACCTTCTAGCTCTTTAGGTAGGAAGTGCTGATTAAATTTTAAAAAGAAACAGAAATCATTTAACTGTATCTTCATCTAAAAATCCTATCAAGGCTCATTCCCAGCCCCCATGCACTTAATAACTCTGTAATATGAAGAGCCATCTCTGGAAGGACCCATCCATGGTACCACTACAGACCATGCTGCGGACCGGCTGTAACTGTGCACCCAGCAATGGCTGTGCAGGCGTTTCCTTCTCATGACTAGATGAATTTTGCAGTCCATTTATTACTGTTCTCCATCTCCACTATGTCCTGTTTCCTAAGGATGCTTGGTGGTGCAGTGCTTAGTGACTGCTAGAGTCGAGTCAGAAATACCACAGAAATCACTAGAGAAGTGAGGCTTTTCCCCCCTTGCCAAGTATAATCTGTAGCTTTATAGTATACACCAGTCTAATGTTCTGTGGAAGAATCCCGTACTAAATTTACAATTTGAAATACATACATTTTTTAGGACACTAATGAGCTAGTCTGCAGTTCAACCCCGTCCATCACTCTGCAAGAGAAAAGACATAGTTAATCAAGCCCTGTGAAGAATGTTACTTTTTCTTTTTTCTTTTATTACACTAGTTTATTTACAAAATTCTAATACATTGCTTTCCAGACCAGATTCTTCCAATTTCCCTCACTCCCACCATTAAATTGTACAACCTTATTATTAATTCCCCTCCCACACACATCCTCATCCCTCTGCTCCCACCCTTGGATCCTCTTAAGAGTGTTACTTCTTGTCATCAAGTCAATTCTAACTTATAACCTACAAAACCTTGAGGGCAGTTCTTCTCTCCTTTAGTATTACTGTGAGTCTCTGTATGCTCATTTACAGATCACAAGGACAACAACTGCCTAACTAGACTCACAGTCTTATAACCCACAGTACATCTACAGTCAAATTAAACCTTTAAAAGTAGGTGAAGGAAGCTCTGGTAGCTTAGTGGCAAGAAGCTGTGCTGCAATACCAAAGGCGTGCAGTTCAAATCCACCAGATGCTCCCTTGGAGAAGGAGGGAAATCTCCTCTTGTTCCAGTCAGATCTGATTCAATGGTACATAACAAGAAAGGGGCCGGGGCGGGGGGGAGAAAGAAATAAAAAAAATTTAATCCCTATGCACATCAAAAATATTAAAAAAATAGGTGAAACTCTGTTCAGACACCTGCATGTCATCATTATTTTCTTGTTCTTTAATTATCAGATGTTCATACATGCAATTTGTATACTAAGAATTTAGTTTTCAGAGATTCATGGTTCGAATCAACCAGACGTCTTGCTGGAGAAGAAGAGACAATCTCCTCCTGTGCCAGCTGGATCCAATTTGATAGTACACACACAAAAAATAATATTAAAGAAAAAGAATTTAGTTTGATGTGCAATTTGTTAAAACAATTGCTTTATTTCCTAGATTATTATATACCTATGTGATTATAGGTATATGGATATTGTTGTGTTATTGTTGTTGATTGCCTTTGAGTCGAGCTCAACTCATAGTGACCCTATGAACAAAAGACCTGAAGCCTTTCTATAACTATCATCGTTTTTCAAAGTTCATAGAGTTTTCAGAGGCATGTTGTTTAGGAAGTTAGGTTCATATATAAGTACAAGTAGAAATTTCCCATTAAGCCAATGGTTTCCTATATACATTTACGTATTTCTTATATTTCTACAGAACAATGACAGGCTTCCAAAATAATATGTGATATTACCTCTGCAGTTGCCACTGATTAAAAATAGATACATTTTTTAGGACACTAATGAGCAATTGAGAAAATTGGCATTGGAATATTAATTGTTTAATCAATGCTTTAATGCATTGGGTAACTTTTTCTTGATGTAGATTCTAATGAGATATTTGAAGAAAAGTGAGCAGAATATCTCTCTGAGTTTAAATGATATACTCAGAATGCCTGCATGTTGTAAGGATTTCTCAAATGCTGAAATATATTTCATTACAGCCAGACATCAGCAGGATCCCTAGGGTTTGGATCATTTGAAAATATTGTGTTGGAAAGGGCACCTTAATAACATCATAAAGCTGGGAGGAGAGAAGAGATATGAAGTGCAATAGGCATTTTTTTTAATCTCAAAAAAAATCTATCTTAAGTTAGATTTGTTTTTATATTGGCTTTTCCTCTCCCCTCTTCCTCTCATGCCATAAAATGCCTTTGAAATATTGACACATAAATAATTTCCTGCCTAAACACCTCAGAACCTGGTTCCATCAAAAAGAATAGAATAAGAGTTAAGTTTCAGCAAGATCCTCGAGAAAAGACAGCACAGCCTTTGCCTTTTCTAGATCTCCAGCGGGGGTGGAGGTAAGGCAGGGCTCTGTCCTCACAGCCCAGACTCTCTGCAGTTTTCTGCACCTCCCTCACTCCTTATTTTCTATTCCCTTTTCTCACCTGGCTGATTTCTAGGTTGGTATTCCCCCCTCTGCACCACTTAGTATTGGTAAATTCTTCAATGCATATTAAAAGAATACAATAAATATGCCTCAGAAACACTCCATCTGAGTTGATAACTGCATTTTCTCCTTCCTCTTTTCAAGGACAATAGAATTCACTCACATCCTCAAGTTTCTGCAAATTTCCGTTTCCATTCTTTTCTCCTTTCAAACCAGACTCCTAAATTATATGCCAGAGACTGTTATAAAGGGGAGGAGGGGAACGCTATCAAAGAAGCTGTGTAGGATCATCTGACTGCTAGAGTGGAGTCAGAAATAGAGAGATCGCTAGACAAGTGAGGCTTTTCCTCCCTCTGCCAGGTATAATCTGTAGCTTTATGGTATACACCAGTATAATGTTCCATGGAAGAATCTCATACTAAATTTACAATTTGAAATCTATTTGTACCAAAGAGATCCCCAGTCCCCTGGGTAACCTAGATATTAGGCTGGTGAGAAAACAGTCATGCTGATATACAGTAGTCTATGCCTGTGGAAATGGGGGAGGGGAGCGGGATTTGGAGGTTCCAGAAGGCATGTGTTAGCCCATTGGACTGAAAATGTTTTTCTTTAGTGAGTAAAGAATCCAAACTAGACTTATATCTACACATACATGCATAGACTATGTCATACAGGAGTAGATAGGATAAACCCAGATTTCAAATGTCCCCTATTCTAACCTACGTGATTATGCTTCTACTCTTTAGTATGTGGTGTCTAATCTTCCATGATGTTTATATTTCTCTGCTAATGCAGCACTGTTCTGAGTACCACTGTGTGCTGGCCAGCATGGATTTGTGTACCCGTGTTTTGTTTCACGTGTTCTGCTCTTCTCTCTCTCTCTCTCCTGCTGCTGTCTCCATCCTCGCTCCATCAGAGAGAGCCGCAGGTCTCTGCTGCCGCCTAGTAGTTCCCTGTCACAAAGGGATGCCAAGGCTTACCGATTTGTCTGTCAAAACCAAAGATGTCTGGGAAATCCCTCGAGAATCCCTGCAGTTGATCAAGAGACTGGGAAATGGGCAGTTTGGGGAAGTATGGATGGGTATGCTGAGATTCAATTACTCTATTATTAGCTTCCTCAGCTGGGGAATCCCAGACCTCAAAAGATGGAAGGTGAAAAATGATTTTGGAATGTCTGCAAAAGAAATAGGAAATTAATTGAGATTGGCTCAAATTGTACCTCACATGAGTCTCAATCCTTAAACCAGTAAATGGTACAAGGAATAAACCAGCCTGCATACAATGTCTTGCCTATCATTTCCAAATGCAAATATTTGTTGAATAAACTTAGTGTCACCCTGAAGGGCAAATCACCTTCCATCTTTTCTAGTGCATGCATAATGATGGATTATAAGGATTGTGTTTTCTTTATTAATTCCCTTTCCTGTAGAGAAAGCTGATGGTTTGTGTTTTAACTTAACTGTGATTGCATCAAGTTGTACCCCACAAACTTCTGGATTGGCTAAAGATGCTTGGGAAGTTGCACGTCAGTCGTTGTTTCTGGAGAAGAAGCTGGGTCAGGGGTGTTTCGCTGAAGTGTGGCTTGGTAAGGCAGAGGGCACATTTTGCTTTGGCTGCTTCTTAGAGCCAATTAAAAGGATGCTTTTGAACAAAAACACACAGCTCTACATGCACAGCCATTTGGACCAACGCATTTAACCTCGATATCCAGATGGGCACAGCCCATCCAGATCTAAAAAAATAGAGTGATTCCTGCCTCATGTGGTTAATTAAGACACCCACAGAACAGGAAAACAATACAGTATGAATCTGGTGCTCCTTCTTCCTAAGAGACGGGAAGGTAAGATGTTATAGGTGGACGATTATGAGGCAAGACCCTGGGCTTTCTGTTCATTGAGCCCAGGTTTGGAGATACACTATATCTGATTAACTGTGGACAAGAAGCTTGTTAGCCTCTTGAGTCTCAGTTTTCTCATCTGTAAAATTAAATGGTACCAGCTTCACAGGATTTAAGGATTACAGCATGTTTCTTTAAGGATTACAGGATGGGACAGTATGTTTAAAGTCCTTTGGAAGGGTCAGACACACTGCACTGGCCCTTCCCAAGTGCTTATCTAACAACCTTTAAGTAAATGGCACCTTTACTTAGAGTAGAAGCAGTAGAGACCAAAATCCCCTTCTGTTGAGGCAGACCTGATTCCCAGTAACCCTGTCCTGGGTTCCTGAAGCTATTATGTATGAGAATAGACCACCTAGCTTTGTTCCAAAGACTGGCTAATATATTGGAGCCAATAAAAATCATCTATCAGTAAGAAACTGATTTGACAGTGATGCTTGTAAAATCATCAGTTTGAGCCCACGTAAAGGAATAACAGGTGCTTCTTGTTATGTGTGGATGTCAGTGCTAAGGCATGATCTTGATTAAAAGAATTAATACATTTAAGGTGTTAGAACAGAACCTGGCACATGGTGATACATGGATATATAATATGTATATGTACGTACACTTTCATTCAGAGACATGCATATATAAATAAATATATGTACTAGATTTAGTAGTATTACCAATATTCTTGTATTTCAGAGTTCACACAATCATGTCCATATGTCTCTGAATTAAACTCAGATATTGTAAAATATCTAAATATGTCCAATTTGTAGTTGAAGTTCTGAGTCCTAAGAACTTGAATCACATTTTTCACATAGTCAGTACTAGATCCTAGGTGAAAATTTCTTTTCTATTTTTCTTAACTATCATCAACTTTAAATCTCCACATACACCATTAAAATTTTGTTTCCCATTGACTATAAATCACCATTTTGTTATCATCCAGAGTGCAGATGGATATTAGAGAGGACTATATCGTTGTTTAAAATTTGGACGTGCTTATATAGTAGCAAAAGTTCACTTACATATTCTCAAATTTCACATTTATGTTTAGTACTCGGATATTTGTAAGTCATTCAATGAACTTTTCTTTACTCCCTTTGTTCTTTCATAATTTTTATAGGCCTTATTTTATAATTACTTAAACTACATACTTAACAAGGCAATAAGAATTGTTCCACTTGACACAGTTTTTCAAATTCTAAAGTCAATTATGTATACAAACTAATTTAAACCAGCCTTCTTTTTCAAAGTGAAAATAATATCAGTTAAGTTAGCAAATTTTTCTTTTCCTTTTAAAAAATAGGTTTAACTCAGAGTCACACAGGACTGTTAATGAAATACGCAAAACCTAGAATTGAGGGAAGGTAAAAGGGCCTAGACTGAAAGAGAATTGAAATATAATCCAGTTTCATCCCATATTTTACAGATGAAATAACTGATGACTGTCTTCATGCAGTCCTTGCTTGATTTTAACATTCTCAGTTTTAAATGACTGTGTTCCCTCTTAACTACCATTCAGTTTTTTCAGTCTAATTGAGAAAAGTCAGTGTTATTGTGGCTGGCCATCAGTAACCCTGAGGGATTTTCCTTACCTGGTTGAAGGTTGGCAAGTAGCCTGAGGACTTCTTACCAATGCTTATCAGCGTGCTTAACTATTAAAGGACTCTGTCAAGTGTGTCAGACAATTAAAAGTCAGAAAGTAATCTCCAAACATCCTCAGATATGTTTTTAAAATGGCAATCTTCCCCAAAGCAGAATTTAAATAATCTCGTTTTTTCACATTACTCACTACCTGAGAAATGAGTTTGGAATGGCTAGGCCTGCCCTAATCCCTAGACTTCATCATCATAAGAGGGAGCAGAGCTTTGGGGTTAAATTTGTGCCCGCGTGGCTGAACAAGAAAGAGGATAATATATTTAAAATAAGGGAAAATTCAAGAATTATAGACTGTGCATAAGAAAGACACTTACTCTTTTTTAAAATACTTGATAGAGTCCTTAAAGTTGACCTGTATTTTGTTCCCAAAATTAAGCTTTCCATTAAGCTTTTTTTTTAACTTAAAATGTTTACATTATGCAAATAGCTATTGTGTTTTTTAAAAGCTTCCTTCTAACAAGAATCTTTGGCTTGACTTGATGTTATGGGATGTTTGTAGGTACCTGGAATGGAAACACAAAAGTAGCCATAAAGACTCTGAAACCAGGCACAATGTCCCCGGAATCTTTCCTCGAGGAAGCACAGATCATGAAGAAGTTGAAACATGACAAGTTGGTCCAGCTGTATGCGGTGGTGTCTGAGGAACCTATCTACATTGTCACTGAGTATATGAACAAAGGTTGGGCGATGCTTCTCCTGCCCCCCTCCCAATAGCCTAGAGGGGTTACTGCGCAAGGAAAGAAATGAATTCCCATCAAGAAGTGCTATTTGTGTGCTCTTTAATCAAACATTTCAGAAGCAGACTTTGATGCTTTTTTTCCACCCTAACACTTAAGTGAAAGACTTCACCCCACCAGTCCTACCAAAGAGTCCAGGACTCCTAAATAATTGTTACAGAAAATCTTTTTCCCTTGGTTTCAGCATACCTTTCATTACCTAGAACATAGGGTCACGACAGAAAATTCAAAGCAGAGAATAATTTGGTCATGAAATGGTTATTCTAGGGTTTGGCCCAGAGGACTGTAACTTTTTGTTATTCCCAATGCAGTAGCATATGGTAAATTTCCTGTTTGCAGAGCTGAACCATCAACAACAGACACTAGTTTGTAGGCTAAGTTGAGTCTCCATCATTATGACATCTTATTTTCTCCCCTAGCTTGTTTCTTAAGCAGTAAATGAAGAAATGGCATGCTTTTAAGGAGTACATTGTGTCTTCCTTCTTTCTCCTCCCTCCCCTCCTCTCTTTCTCCTAATCAAAGCAATATTGTTGGGGATAAGGCCCAAGATCAGTTTGTATTGGAAAACTTGATGAGTCAAGTAAAAAGCAAACAGCCTTACTAGGCAATGCACTGTGCATCTGAGGACACCACTGCACTTTTTCTTTTCCACATATTTTTAAATATATTTGGAATTTTTTTTCCCTGGCAGAGTGTTTATATTTATGTCCAAGATTATTTTGTAAATAATTTCATGATCAAAGAGGGAGGAAAAAATCCCTGGAAACCATCATGATCCTCCAGCCTCTGCAAATGATTATCCAGCCTTGGTGTTAGTCTGAGCCTCCATGAGCTGTGTTACACTAATGGCTCTGCGGCACCACCTGTTTGCATTCAGATGCCTGAGTTACAGCTTGGTTGGCTGTGGTCTAAGTAGGAGGAGCTACTCGCACCAACTGTAATTCTCAGATACTCTTTCCTTTATTTAAAAGTCTATAAATAAGTTAGGCCAATTGTTCTCTCACTCTACCATGTATCAAAATCACCAGATGTTTAAGACAACAGATTTCTGGACCTGACATCCACTGGTCCAATAGGGTCCCATCCATTTACATGTCTTGCAAGTTCCCTGGTGATGCCTTAGCTGCTGGTATGATGACTACATTATGGGAACAACTAAGTTGAGCTGTGTCTTTTCTCTCATTGCTCTTTTGTGTAGGGTTGAATCCAGATGACTCTTCCCATTCGCCACAGATCCTTTTTAAGGATATTAAGGAAGATTAAGCCTCATTTCTTCTGTTTTTATCAAATTTTTGTTGTAATCCTTAGCAATGGAGTCCGCTTTTAAAAAACCTTTTTCTTGTGATTTGAATTAAAGTTTACAGAGTAGATTGGTTTTCCATTGAACAATCCCTACACACTTGGTTTTGTGACATTGATTTGCAATCCCCTTCCCATTTTGTCCCTGTGTTTACTGGTTTCCATGTGGCCCTCTTTTCTATCCCTTTCCACTTTCTGAAGTCTTCACTCATTCATTCATTGCTGTCAAGTCAGAATAGACTCTCTGCTGACTCTCCAGAGAGTTTTCTGAGGCTGTAAACTGCACAGGAGGAAATTGCCCATCTTTCTCCCATGGAGCAGCTAATGGATTTGAACCTCCCTGCCTTTGCATTGACAACATCCTTACCTAGTAGGCCACCAGACCTCCCTTATCCCGGGCCAAATGCTGCTGCTCTGATCTCATAGTGTTGGTTGTTCATAGGAGTGTGTGTGTCGCTGCTGTTACTGTTCACCTTATGCTGTTTGTTGTTCGGTACCATTGAGTTGACTCAAACTCAGAGTAACCCTGTGCACAGCAGATTAAATCCTGCGCCACCCTCAGTCTCCTCTGTGTTCGAGCCCATTGTTGTAGTCACTGCATCACTGTCTCTCCTTTGATCCTCAGCTTCCCTATGCATGAAGTCTTTTTCCGGGATGCACTCCTCCTGATAACATGCCCAGAGTATGTGAGACAAAGTCTCACTCTCCATTTTGTAGCTGAACGTTGAGCCACGGGAATGAGCTCAGTTCCAGCCCTAGACGGTTGTCTGAGCACCATATCTTGGGGGTCCTACCAGTCTCTATCAGACCCATAAGCCTTGCCTTTTTATTATTTTGAGTTTTGGTCCACATTTTCTCCCACTCTATCTCCAGGGCCCCTCATTGTGATTCCTTTCAGAGCAGCCATAAAAGTATTGCCCTTAAATACATAAAATTTTCTCAGTCCTTTTTTGTATAAACCTGCTGATGGCATTATTCCATTAAACTACCTTATTATGTTTAGAAAGTCATTTCCTTTAGAAAGGAAAACTATTTACAGCCCTCTCTTGGGAATTTTTGTCTTTCAAAGTAAATCATAATGGTTTTATGTTTTGTTCCCAGGAAGCTTACTGGATTTCTTAAAAGATGGAGAGGGAAGAGCTCTGAAATTACCAAACCTCGTGGACATGGCAGCACAGGTATGCCCCGTAGTACCTGGGCTCGTGCCTTAACATGAGCAGTGTGTCGGGGCCTCGAGACCTGAGTGATATGTCCTGTCCTCTGGGTTTCCATAGGTTGCTGCAGGAATGGCTTACATCGAGCGCATGAATTACATACACAGAGACCTACGATCAGCAAACATCCTGGTCGGGAATGGACTAATATGCAAGATTGCTGACTTTGGATTGGCCCGGTTGATCGAAGACAATGAGTACACAGCAAGACAAGGTGGGCATTTGCATGATGAATTGTTTCTGTCTGAGCCTTCTTTCTTCCTAACTGTCTGCTTTTGAGTTGTCATTCCTCAGCGAGGCCTTTTCTCCTTGGTCTGCCAGGAACTTGAATACACTGCAGATGGAAAGCCTCTGTGGGATTCATAGATAAATGATGTGTGGCTTGTCAGTGATTAGGTGTCCACTGTGGCCTCCTGATAGGTCACCTTCCTCACAGCATCCTGGGCTGGGATACTTGGTCTTTGGAGAAAGGACAGTAGAAAGTCAAGTTATCAAGTTATAACTTATCACTCAGTCAGAGTTGCAGCAGAGAGACACACTCAAATTATAGAGTTTAGTATTGGGGTTCTTTACAAAGGTATGGCCTGCCTTTAGGAAAAGAATAGGGTATCGGATTCCAGAGCTAGTAACAGAGATGGAACCAAGTCAGAGATGAAAGGAAGGAGTGGGCACTGGAGCAGGTGGTGGCAGAAAGGGGTCCCCTTTGGTAGAGAGCGAAGGTGTGAACAGGCAAGGGGAGCCAGTACCAGATCTCACTGTTTAGCCTCCTAGATCTTGTGCAGAACCCAACCAGAGGCCAGATGCCAAAGGTCTCCAGCACTGTAGTTTCTGTGGGTTCAAGAGGAGTCCCTGTGTTGCACAAATGGTTCAATGCTTGGCTGCTAGCCAAAGGGTTGGCAGTTTGAACCCGCCTCCAGGCACCTCGTAAAATATTTAGTGGACAGCTGCTTCTACGAAAACTCTACGAAGCAGTTATCTTCACATACAGAGACACTGTGAGTCAGGATCGACTTGATGACAAAGTGGTCCTTAGCAGGGAGAAGGAGGGAGAGAACACCTAGAGGGATTGTGGAAGATAACAGCACAGCCTCGGAAAAACTCTGCTTCCCTTAATCATCTCCCTTCACTGCACTCCACACCACAGATTTTAGAAAGTAGCCTCTAGAGATACACATCCTAAACCACGAGCCACTCCAGTGAGGAAGTTTTGCAGATACCAGTAGAACACCAGGTACAAGAGAGGGAATTCCAAAAGGATTTCTCTCGGCCTTGATATTCACATTAATGGTCACCAGGTTAATGTAGAATATTTGAATCTGAGGAAACAGGAGTAACATTCACTGTTGTTTTTAACCAAAACCTATTTCTTATTCCAAGTAAGACTGAAGAGTGACTGGAATATATTATAGAGTGATGCTTTCTACTGGATTTCATAATGGCTACCTCTGGAATTTCTCTCCCTCTCTAGATTCTTTCATTTCATGCCAATTCTCCCTTCCTTTTATTTGACTCTGAGAATGGAAACATTCTCAGCAGTCAAGCAATGAGGAAAAAATGTTAATCTAAGACCCTGGCTGGTAAAGATACTGCCCAAATGTTAAATTACATGTTGGTCAGGCAGCTCAGCTGTTTGGATTTTCCCAACACATGGCAGCTCTTGTCCTGCAGCCAAATGCCCACACAGCAAGCAATTCAGACACAATACAGTTCACACACGCGTGTGTACCAGCACACATACACACGCACGCGCGCATACCCACCAGTGTGGGCCAGATGGCTGTAGCTGTAAGCTCTAAAGGCACTCTAGTGGCTGTGATTGGCACTGGAAGTCCAGAGAGAAATGAGAGTGTGATTTTTGAAACAAGGTGAGCAGAGAGGCTCTGAGGGACGACTGGGTCTGAGACCTGTCCCTAAATGAGGAACTTACCCTGAGGCAGTCCTGTCAGATCTTTGCTTCTCTCAGATCTGGAGCAAGAGTGAGTGAAGACTAGGAGACGGGAGTATCTCGCTAAGGGAAGAACCAGAATACAGGTCACGCTTCCTGCTTATCTGCACATCCTTCTTTGAATGAGTAGACTCTTCATGCCAACGGGAATGGGCCAGGACTTGTTCCACTTTTCTTGAACTGTGTACTTTGCAGAATTTGCAGTTAACTCCAGAATGCTTGATGAAGGAAAAAGTTATCAAGCCAAGAGCCAAAGTATACCAGCAAGGGTGCTGCTGCTGACAGGGCCGTGATACTTGGTTCAGACTAGGCCATGGAGTGCAGTACCTCATGATGTGGCCCTAGCTAAGTAGCATCCAAGGGAAGATGTGTGAGATGTGCCTCTTTAGCTTCCCTCACGTCATCCTTCAGCTTGTGGAGCAGGATGGAGCTGCCACCCTCAACTCTGTCCTTCACGGCCCTGTGTCCTTTCCTATTTAGTGCTCTATGACATCAGCCTCACCACCCTCACTTTCCCAGATGCTACCTGAACCCCTTTTGAGTGCCTTTAGCACTGTAATCCTTATACTTAACTTCCAAATAGAGGGCCTCACTCATTGTTCTTAAGATTTATTTCTTCTCCCAGCTGCTTCCCTTTTTCAAAAGTCTCTACTCTATGCCAATCCGTGGAAAAAAGGGTGAAGAGAAATAAATTATTTGGAGAACTAAACTAGGTGGTGAGCAGTAGGGCCTTATGATTTCAACAGAGAATAAAGGAAATATTGTCCTACGACAATAGGGAAGGCAGAGGCACTTACGTGATGTCTACCAGGAATGTCTTCTCCGTCTGATAGAGACTGAGAGGAAGTGGGGAAAGAAACAGAAAATAGGCTAAAAAGGTTAAGTAACATACCAAGTCGCACAGCTGGTAAATGGCAGAGCCAAGACTTGAATCCAGGAATAACTAACCCAGCTGCACCTACCCTCTTAAGCTAACTACCTCTTATCAAGACAGTAATTAAAATTACTAGGCTAGGCCATGATGAAATACCACTTCATGTCCTCAAAGATGAGCTATAAATAAAAAAAAAAAAAGAAGACGACGACGTGCTGGCAAGGATGCAGAGAAATTAAAATACGCATCCAGTGCTGATGGCATGTAAAATGGTGCAGCTGCTATAGAAAACAGTTTCGTTTTGTTTTCTCAGCAAGTTAAACAGAATTACCAAAGATTCTGCTCCTAGGTGTAGACTCAGAATTGAGAGGAGAAATACAGCACGGAAGTACTACTCAGAGTAGTCGAAAGGTGGAAACAGCCAAAATGTCCACCCCAGGTAAAAGGATAAATGGAGTGGGGCATACACCCGGGATGGACCGCCGCCCGGTCATAAGAAGACATGGAATTCAGATACCTCCTGAAATAGAGGAATCTGGACAACCTTAAGCTGAATCAAGTAAGTCAGACACAGAAGGACAAATATTTTATGACCTCAATTAAATAAAATATCTCGAATAGACCAATAGAGACTAAAGTTTACTAGTGTTACCAGGAAGAGGCAGGAAGGAGTGAAGAGGAGATTCATTGCTTAGGGACACTGAACTTCACTTAAGAAGTTCTGTTCAGAAAATTTGGAACAACAATGGTGATGGTGGCACTAATGAATTAATGTCTTGAATAGATGTAAAAAAAAATGTTGAAATGAGAAATGTTGTTCACTGCTGTTGAGTCAGAACCAATTCATAGCTGTCCTTCCTTTGGGGTTCTGAGGCTGTCAGCTGCACATGTGAAGATGGCCTGTCTTACTCCCTCAGAACAGCTGGTGGATTCGAACCCCTAGAGAGGAGCAGCCTTTAGGTGGCAGTGCAGCTCTCTACACACCACACTGCCCAGAGCTCCGTAGAGATAAATTAAAAAAAAAAGATTTTGTAAGTAAGTCATAAGAACTCTGGTGGCCTAGTGGGTAAGGAGTTGCACTGCCAACCCTAATCACACAATTTGAGGCCACCATTTGCTCCACAGGCTAGAGATGGGCATTCTCCTCGCATATGGTTTCTAGGTTCTGAAAATCCATTGGAGGGTCAGATATGAATCGATTCCAGAGCCACAGCAATGAGTTGAGTTGCTGAATTGACCCTTCAGCTGCTCCTCTCTGGGGGTTTAAATCCACTGGCTGTTCCAAGGGGGAAAGATAGGCAGTCTCCTCCTGTGCAATTTACAGCCTCTAAAGATCCACTGGAGGGTCAGCTAGGAGTCAGTTCTGACTTGATGGCATATAATAATAACAACAGGAAGGGGGAAATTCAAACTATTGCTTTTGAGTCAAAACCAACTGATAGCTGAGCTTCCAGTGGTGTTTCAGAGGCTGTAAATTGCACAGGAAGAGATTGCCTGAGATCTCCCAGGCAACAGCTGGTGAGTTTGAACTGATAGAGAGGTGCAGGCTTTCAGATAGCAGTACAAGTCCTTAACAGATTATGCCACTGGAACTCGCTGATTTAAAGAAAAGGAGACCTTAATCAGGATACTCAAGATTCTCTTTTTTTCTTTCTGTTTTATCTGAAAATGTTTAAGGGTTACCTTCTAATGTGCATGTATGAGGATGAAAAAGGCCTTCATTTTCAGGCTCTGGGGAAACCCAGCTTTTTATAAAATTGCTCTCAAGGCCTTGCCCTGGCCTGGCCTCTTTTCCAGGCAGAAAGGATCTGGTGTGTATCTGTGGTGTACTCTGCAGATGGCATGCGTGCTGCGTGCTGAAGTTTCTGCCGGGGATTAATCAGCTCCTGCAGACAGCTGGTCCGTGTGCCTAATAATATTTGCAAGTCGGGTTTTATGTTACCCACAGGCCACAGCCATGCTGCATCTTGATTATGGAAGTGCAGGCAGTATTCAGAATCATGTGCCAAACCCAAGATATTTTAGGATTGTGAATGACAATTGTTTTTCAACAGTCGTGTCTCCCGTCTAAGAGTACCCTGAAATGTTTGTCTCCTCCCTTGGAGGGTGGATGAGGTGACATTCCACAGAGCACTGGCAGAAGTGGAACGTGGAGCTGTGTTAAGTAATCCTTCGTGCGTTCCCTTCCTCCCACCACCCACACCCACTAGCTTCAGGCTGGGAGCAGGTTCCAGAGCCCAGAGCCTATGAGGGTAGTTTTCTGTCAGCCACATTCTAGAGGCAACCAGAACTTGTTTTGAGCTTGTTCATATTCTCTTACTACCTTTCTGTCTCAGAATTATAGTTAGCCATAGGTCTTTGCTAAATTCTTTTCAATCAAGATATCTAGCAATGC